CGCTTTCTACCTCTCATGGATCCATCCCCATTCTCTTACATTCACCCTGATTTCCCATCTTCCTACCCAAAAGTAATGGAAATCACAATAGCGAACAATTATTAATAGCTTACTACTTGTATTACTTAATTATATGGACTGCTAGGAGAACAAACAAGTTTGTCCTAGAGAGGGTGAAGCCAGCCTGCTCCTTGGAGACAAAAATTCTGAAGTTCCATCTCACATCCTTGGAGAGGGACGTCATGCTTGGGAGGGTGGAGGGACAGCGCAGGAGAGGAAGACCCTCGATGAGATGGATTGATTCAGTCACTGGTGTAATGAGGGAACAATAAGATTGGCAAGGGACAGAGCAGGGTTTAGGGCTGTTGTACATAGGGTCACTGTGAGTCACAGTCGACTTGATGGCACCTAACAGTGATGATGACAACAACAACATCAACATATTGTAAGCACTTTACAACGAACTCACTTAATGAAAATTCAGGATGCTCTTTTCCTTGTTTCTAACTGAATATTACTTTCCTGTATTTGAAAATCCTAAATCATACCTATTACAATGCTTTACAAAAGAATCCCCAGTAGGAATTCTGATGAATGGAAGCTCCTCTATCTCTTTATAGAATTCCTATTTCTGTAAGAGAGTGGAGAGAGAACAAGGAACATAGAACACCTCCATTCTCTCCGACTAATGCTGAGTTCATTCATGGAATATTTATTAATAATTACAGTAGAGGACAGATCCCAGGAGATGTTTGGGAAAGTAACAGAAGAGCTTAGCTGAGTTAAACTTTGACTTGAACGTTAGAATTTTACCTAATCGCGTCTTTTTGTTAAATGAGTGTTTAGGTTGCTTTTCCTCAAGTTTTGGAAATAATCATTACCACATAACAAGGATCAGGAGAGTAGAGTCCCAATCTTTGATCTACCCTTAGTTTTCTTCTTGAGCTGGTAACTTAACCAGTTTCCTCTCTTAGTGCTGTTGATAGAATGAAGCTGTAGAATAAAAAGCTAGTATTGCCACTATTTTTTTTGTGATGAGTATCTTTATTTTGCTATTAAAATAATTCAGTCTTAATTTATAAGGAATAATTCCAGTCAGTAGCAATCCCTCCAACTCTTATCAAACCTTAATTAGTTCTTGCCTCTTCTAAAATTTCCCCTCCAAAAACTTTCACCATTCCTTTGAATCTTCTCCTACATTTCCCTGAGTAATTTCCCTCAACATGAAGTCATGCTCAAGTCATTTACCACTCTAAAACTCCTCTGCTTGAACTTTAATCTGTTTTCTGAAGCCACCTCATCTAATTCTGCAGCCTAATGATAACTATATTTTTGTTCATAGTGTTGCTATGGGTTCTGGTTGACTTGATGGCACCTAACAACAGCAACATACAAAAACATGCATATGGATTTATAACTCAGGTCCTCAATCTTACACAACTTCCATAAATATAAAGCTAGCATCCTACGCAGTAATAGTCATTCTGAAGTTTTAACAGATACCTCATATAAGAACAAAAAGGATATTTCATCTCATTTTCTCTCTCTCAGTAAATGGATCAGAATCCACCTGTGTTCAAGTTTCCGCTTGATTCTTCTGTCCTTCACGTCTCACATCTCAATTGGACAGCACTTCTTTTCATTTCTGCCTTCAACATCTCTCTCAGATAATCATCTTATTCTCCCTAGCACTACTGTCATCCGACTCCTCTTCATCTATTGTGAAGTGAATGACTGTAGTAATTGACTGATAGATCTATTTGATTTCATTGTTGCCTAGTTTTCCCTTCCCCGTCAACTTGCCCAGAACAGCCAGAATGATCTTTTAAGCATGTAAGTCAGATTTTTGTCACTTCCAATATTTCCGAAGCTTAGCAGAAAAGTCAAGCTCTCTACTAAATTCTGTTGGGTTCCTCAGTGACAAGTGGTTTCCTTTTGTCTACTAAATTACAGATTGTGACTCAGGTCCACTTACTATGAGGATAAGGTCAGGCATTCAGCTTCTGTGAAACTTTTTAACAGTCAGGAGAACCCTGCGGAATAGTTACACCATGTAACCTAGGAGGTCCCATGAGTTAGAATCAACTCAATGGCATTGGGCTTGGTTGTTTTGTTTACTTTGTTTTATAAGCTCTGATGTCATCTGGCCCCAACCAACGGTAACCCTTCTCATGATATCCAGTAACACTGCCCTTATTCTGCAGTCCCAGAACACCCTCAAACTCTCAAACGTCGTGCATAGACTTTACATTTTATCTTGCCTTTTCCTTTTCTGGCCTTTTTAGTCTTTCTGGTTTAATGTTAGTAATCACTTCCTGAGAGCATTTTTGGTTTTTTTACCAGTCTAAATGGATCTTCTTCCTCTAAGTCATTCTTTGTCACATTATCCTGATTTGGACAGTGACTAGGGAGGGTAGAAGGAGAATTGATGCCTTTGAGCTGTGGTGTTGGAGAACAGTATTGAGAGTACCATGAACTGCCAAGAAAACAAACAGATTCATCCTCGAGAGGGTTAATGCAGGCTGCTCCTTGGAGGCAAGGATTCTGGGGCTTCGTCTGACATACTTTGGACATGTTGTAATGAGGGACCGGTCCTTGGAGAGGGACATCATGCTTGGAAGGGTGGAGGGACAGTGCAGGAGGGGAAGACCCTCTAGGAGGTGGATTGATTCAGTGACGGGGGGTAATTGGCATGGGAGTGTCAGAGACAGTGCGATTGGCACAGGACAGAGCAGAGTTTAGGGCTGTTGTACATAGGGTCGCTATGAGTTGCAAGCGACTTGATGGCACATAACAACAACAACATAAATCTAATAGCAAAAGGAGTTTAATTTTGCATGTTTGTTTTGTCTCCATTTTCATTCACTAGAATGTGTGGCTCATCAAGGTGAGGACTTTAATTTTCTTACTCCGTTGTATATTCCCAGCTTGTGTGCCAGTGTTCAGCCCAGAGGAGGAGTCTCTGTAGAGGGGACAGTGGGGTGTAAGCAGAATGTAAGAAGATGCTGGTTTTTGTTTCAGTGGGTTCAGGGTTTAGAGAATGAAATGGTTTATGAACAAGTAATTGCTATGCAGTATAACAAGGTGCTACAATAGAGTGGAATGCTTAGAAGTACATAATATAGTGAAAAGATATGCATTCAGATTCCGAAAAATAGTGCACTGAAAAATGTTTTATTTTCATTGTTATTGTTATAGAGCTCATTTTAATGTAGAATATTGAGAAAATCCAGAAAATTATAATGAGAAAATATCCATCAACTCTCAGTGTCAATTTTTTTAAAAAAATTTACGTTAATGGGTTATTCTTTACCATTATAATTCATCATTTTGGGGATGGTTTGAAGCTACTTACTCATTATCTACTTTGAAAAATTTCTGTCTTTTGCTGATTCTTAAAAGTTATTTACACAAAAGTCATTGATTTCCTGTTATTTCTATTACACATACACATATTGTTCTTTGTCCTTTTTGTTTGTGAGTTCTCTCTTTAATGGGGGACAATAGTTGGTCAGGTTTTTCAGGAATTCTTTATTATTACATCTTCTTCCGGACTAATAGTTTGAGTGGTTCATATAGGCTCTATGAACCTGGAGTGTATATAAGAATTTTAATTGCAAGTCTATGCTTTTTGTCTTTTGATTAGGGGTGGTTTGTTTTGTTTTGTTTTTTTTCTTTTTTTTTTCTGTATTCGATACAAATGTTGAGTATTGATAGATGAGCAGCATTCAGTCCTTGTGGTCTCTTGGCAAAGGAGGGAGTTTTTCGTGGAGGTGGTTAAAGAGACGTTCCATGCTCTTCCATATCCTTCTGTTCCTGGATTTGTTTCTTTCTCTGCTCTTTTGTATTGCCTCTTGAAAACAGGGGAGACAAAGAGTTTATTGGAAGTAGAGGGGCAAATGTTGAAAGGGGATCTTTGTGAAGGATCCAGAGTGATGAAGTTGTGATGAGTTTGGCCTACCATGAAGTTGAAGTTGGAGTCTGAAGGAGTTGACATTGTAGATGAGAATAGGAACATTGATTAACCAATATGATAGATGGTGCCTGGGCGCTGTCAAAGAACCAGACAGGGATATATGGTTATATTCTGTTAACTCTAACTCACAGCTGCTCTGTGTACAGCTGGTTGGAACCTCATCATCGTCACAAATGGAGGACCAGAGTATCATGTACAGTTGAGTAGGTTTAAGAAGGGTTAACGGGAAAAGGACTATGGGGTAAGGTGATCTGCCAAAATATACAAAGATGGAATTTAAGGTTTTGCAGTTGGAAAAAACCCAAATTTGAGCATGTGGTTGATTGAAGGAGAAGGTCATTGGCATTAGGAAGACCAAGGATATTGACCGTGTTATCCACATGTATCCCTTAGGTGAAGTTAGAAGTTTGGTAAAAGAAAAACTGTCAATTTATATGTGAATTCTTCATTGAAAAAAAGTAGAATGAGTAAGAGTCAAAGTAAATATTTCAAAGAACCTATTTCCCTCTGAATTCTGGAAATTAACAGGTGAGCAGGAGGCTTACTTTCAAGCGGTGCTATTGAGAAATTTTAATGTAATATATTCCTTGGGGATGCCGAATCAAGTCGGTGTAAACTCTCCCATTAAGCTTTTCATTCACCCTTCATAAGAAAGTCGGGACATTAGGATGTGGTAATTCTCTGTGCTTCACTTGAAACTACAATGTGAAAGGCATAGATTGAGGTCTCAAGGACAGATTTGGGTTTTTCTTCTCCATTCAAGTGTTCTGTCTGAAATGTATTGTATTCCATCGGGGTAATATATTTCTTTTTATTTCATTTTTCTGCTGGTAACAAAAGCTTGACCATTTCACCTTGATTTTAAAATCCATGCCAGTTGCCCGAAACATCCTGTACTAAATGTAAAGTTTCTGGTCAGTTTTTATGGGAAACGGAAATAGAAATGTTTGGGGGGATGGTTCGCTTATATGATGAATGCCTGCAATCGCTTCTGTGAAATTGACTTCTGCTCCGTGTGTTGCAGGTGATATTTGAATCCGTCTCTTTGAAGGGTCATCCTGGCTACATCGCTGTGGATGAGGTCCGGGTCCTCGCCCATCCGTGCAGTAAGTGTGCTTCCTTCTGCCTCTTCAGCCTTGCTCCGTGCCAGACTGGGGCATTCGGAGGCTGCAATCCATCCTATTCATTCAGCTTACAAACATCTCTCTGTCTCTCTCTGTGTCTCTCTGTGTGTGTCTCTCTCTCTCTCCTTCAGAAAAATGCTTACAAACTCAATGCAATCAGTCCTGAATAAATCCATAATTTTGCCAGCCTGTTCAACAGGCAGCACCTACAGGAATTTGCAGAGAGTGGCAAAACATCTTCATTCACATCTCTCTCGATTATTAAGGGAGTCTAAAGTCCTGATTGTTTATTAGTGGGATTCAGGTCACTGAAGTGGAAGAAATTAGAGGGCTTTGGATAGAATCTTGTGCAATTGTCTTAAAAAAAAAAGGAAAGAAAAGAAAACCACCAAAACATTGTGCAGATTAGCACACTGTTCACTCACAGAGAAAAGTACCCAAAGTTATTAATTCTTTAAAAATAATTTAAATACTCTCATCAGCTTCATGTAGGCATAGGGAGAGATTTCTCCTAGTGAGTAGCATTTATGGTGCATGTCAAGAGTCCTCAAATACATGCCACTCCTCCATACCCATCCAAGTTTCCCCTTGAAAATCTCTCTCTCTCTACTGTGTTTAGTCTAAGATGCTCAAGTGGGTTTCAGTAGAGAGAGTTGTGGTTCTTGAGTTTATTAAATCTTGGAAGAAGCATGTCTTTGATAGAGGCATACAGTTCGGTTGATGCCATACTTTTACTGATGACATGAGGGTGCTGATACAAGGCACACGTATGAGCATTACGCTGATCCCTGGAGGACTACCTGAGCTGTCAGCCCACATTTGTGAGCACTCCATGTAGTGGAGATTCCTGTTGGTTTCACAGCAGCCATCTGATTTCATAATCCGTAGGCATCTCTGTGGTTGTGGTGTGCCACTGAGTTGATTCCACTCATACTGACCTCGCAGGACAGACTAGAACTCCCCTGAAGGATTTCTTAGTTAATTATCTTTGTGGAGTTAAGAGTTCCAGATCTTTTCTCCCTTGAACTTGGTCATTGCACTGCTGGGGCTCAGATCACTATGTACCCATCATCTGTGCTGTGGCCTGTGTGTAGTTTGCTACTGCCTCGAGAGACACTGGTGCTCTCTCCAGTCCTTGGCTTTCAGTTCTCCCATTTGAGTTCCTTCCCGATTTGGTCTCATCCATGTTGCTTTAATTAAAATGGCTCTGTTTGCGCTGCAACGACTTAGTCAGGCCCTCAAGCTTCAATTCTAGCCTCCTGGACTAGAACGCCATTGTCTGACTCATTATCTTCAACTGCCTTCTCTGGGAAGAATTTGAGGACACGTTTCCAGAGGTTTAAGCAAGACAGTATTTTTGGTAACTGTGTTGCATGCCCGTTGAAGAGACACTCTTTCTTCCTTGGTAGAAATCAGGGAGCACCCCAGGAATGAGTTTCCACAACTTGGCCTCCGTGTTATCGTGGTCACAGACATGCTCTGGGTTATTCTTTGATTCTTCAGGATGTTCTTGAAGGTGTCTGTCCATTTCACTGTGCCTGAGAAATGTCTGTGCTGGGCCAGATCCCGTGTAAAGAAGGCTTCAAATGCTCCCTCATCCCAAAGCTAGGCAGGATTATTTGGTATATCATTGAGTCTCCTCACAATATCAAATCTTCCCCACCTTTAGCTCTGGTAGCACACTGGTAAAGAGTTTCAATGCCAACCCAAAGACATGTCGTTTGAATCCATCAGCTCCTAGAAAAAGAAGGGCGGTCTCCTCCTTGGCAATTTCTTGCCTCTGAAAACCCAGTAGTGGGCCACCTATGAGTTGATTCTGACTTGATGACGCAGAACAACAGTGAAACAACCTTCAGCTCCTGGGAGTTAGCATCAGCTGCTCATACTGGAGAATGATCTTTAGCTCATGACTAAGCACCTGTGTTGGGAGATGTGTGACCCACCTGTGTGGTCCTTTCAAGCTCACAGACTCACCCCGTGCAGCGGGCGAGTTCCGAGACAGTCTCTCTGAAACAAACGTCTGCCCTCTGCAGGCTCTTATCATGCTCCATCTCTACTGTGTCGAGGGACTTTCCTTGGCAGCATTCAGCTACATCACTGCTTCTTACAAGTATCTCCTTGGTACTTGGATTTTTGTCTCACAAGTATTTTGAATTTGGATTTTGGCTTTTCCCAGGAAGTTCTGGAAGAGTCTCAGGAGAATTGGGCTTGGGCTTGCCTCTCCCTGGTTCATAGAACTCTGTGTTCTAATGAGAATGTCCATCTCCACAGTGACACCCATCCTGCTTCTTTTCCCAGTCCCAAGGCACCTCTAAGGCCACCTTGATGGAAGCACGGCCTTTGTGTTAGGCACGTGGTTTATAATCAGAGGCAAACACTTCCTTCTCTGTGAGGCTTCTCCATGGTGGGGGCCTTGGATGCCTTTCCATCCCTGGTGTCTCTTGCTTCCTTCCGTCAGTCTCCTTTCCTGGGGGCTGCTGCTGCTGCTGCGTTTAGGATTCTCTTGGCAGCCTCATCCTCCCCCTGCCGAGGAATACGAATCGCATCCTTCTGAGACAATCACCCAGCAAATGGCCCGTGGGATATATCTCAGGAAGACGTGATCCTGGCTGTGTTCCTGTGAAACATGCGTAGGCCAAGTTCAATCTCAGTGCTTAGGTGATGTAAGGATACATTTCCCAGGCACTACAACGTGAGGCCCCTGTAACAGTGGGCAGTATCAGAAAGGTCCCGTTTGTCTGTGTATGCAGTGCTGGCCATGTATATAGTCCTCCCTGGTCCATCTAGAGCCCGTGGGCTGTGTGAGATTGAGCAGGATCTTGCAAAGGCCTCTTTTTGAAGGCCTGTGTGCAATACCTAGTCCAGATTTTGATCCATCATTTCCTTCAGTAAGTAAAGCATTGAGGACCAGCTCTGTCCAGCACGATGCTAGGTCCTGGGGTATTTCAGTGACCAAGAAAGGACAGGATTTTACCCTTGTGATGGTTAGTAGGTAGGCCAGCGAGAGGAAAGGCATGAAATATATAATTTTCGATAGTGATTAGAGCTATGGATACAATAAATGAGAGAGAGAGAGAGCATGAGAGAGCGAGAGAGAGAATGTGTGTAGAAAGAGAGATGAGGGTCGTACAGGGCTACTTGGAACTGTTAGGAAGGTAGGAAGAAAGGTGTCCTCAGAGATGTGACTTGAACTGGGTTCTGAGTCAGAGGAAGGGGCTTGTTAAAGAAAGGTCTGCTGAGGTAGGCATTGAATGCCGAGGGAACAGAAGGTGTAAAGACCCTGTGGTGGGAATCAGCTCAGTCCTTCCCATGCGTCCTGAACACAAGAAGCCCAGAAGGAAGAGCTCTGTCTACCTTATTGCTGGAGAAGTGAGCCGGGTCCCGCCTTTGCATGCCTTGAGGGATATCATAACAAGATGAGCTTGGAACCCAAGTACAGGGAGGCATCATTAGAGTGTTTTATGTTGAGGAATGATAAGAACAGCTTCTGGAACCCCAGTGGCACAGTGGCTAAGCTGTCAACTGCTAACAAAAAGGTTGGTGGCTTGGACCCACCCAGTGGCTCTACAGGTAAAAGACATGATCATTTGCTTCCATAAAGTTTTCAACCAAGAAATCCCCTTGGGGCAATTAATTCTGCTCCGTCAAATGGGGTCACTATGAATTGGGAAACAAACACTGAGGGCATCAAAGAACTCTAGTGATCTTACTTAATTGTTAGAAAATCACTTTGGCCGCTCTGTGGAGAGTGAGTTTCAGGTGAATCTGGAAGTCGGGAGACCTAGGAAGAAGGCAGTGCCAGAGACCGCACGGGAAGGGAGGGTGCTGGTCCAGGCCATGCATCCATTGGCCATTCGTCCCATGAGTCAGAGTCACGCATTTTCTCATCATAAATGCCACCCCTTCCAGCACTCTTCTGGGCTAATGGGAATAAGATTTATTCTTTGCCCTCCTAGAGTGGACAAAGTTGGGTGTCTACTAAAGTGAGATATTGAAGAGCAAACAAATAATCAGGTGTCCTAACAGAATGAGTAGCACTGTCTAGGAACAGAACCTTCATGTACAGAGAGGTAATCCAGTCTTGTTTGGTTAGCAAGATTGGGAGACAGACATCCACGACAGTGCCCTCCCAGACTTCTGGATTAAGGGATTCTGGTTTAAGAGTGGTGAGGCTAGAGTGTCAGGAGTCAGGGGAAACTGAGTCTGAGAGACAGTTTGGGTGGCGATAACTATGACCCTGGGAGCTGTCTTTAGGATTATGTGTTATGAAATGCATTCATGGTTTCTGAGCCCTTTCTTGAATTGAAAGTGCTCCCCCCTCCCTGGCTGGCTTTAATGTTAATGCATTTATGATTTCACTCCCAGATCATTAAAAATTTAACTATATTGAGAAATATGCATTCCCTTTCTGTCCTCGGGCTTTTTAATTCTCCGTTTGTGTCCTCTGAAACTGCTTTTCTATTAACACATGGTCAGAGTTTATCAATAAGTGATTCCACTAAATATTCTGAAAGTTCCCGGGGGAGGGAGGCTCATGCTTGATTTGCAACCGTATCCTCGATCGATTGGAGCTGAAGTTTTGACATTAACTTCTTGTCTCAGAGCTTATACACACAACAGACACACACGCACAAATAAAAGGTACCAGAAGACAAAGAGAATTATTGGCTCTTGCAAACTGAAACCTGGCATCCATGTTTTATAGCCCCTTTAACATTTTTGTGTTATTCCAGAAGGATTTTTAGCGATGGTTGCCCTCCGCTGCCACTGCCTGGCTGGACCATTTGTAGGGACACATCAGTTATAACTGCGTACAAGAAATGTCAGCAGGATTTTCCACTAGGTTTCAGAGTTCTTAGTGCCTAAGTTGACTTTTAGAGTTTTTTAAACCCTTTCTCTCCCCCCCTCCCTTCTTTTATTCGCTGTAACAACCTTGCTGCAGGGTCTGAGCCTGCAGGGTGTCAGCAGCGTGTGTCTCTAAT